CTGGGGAACTGATATGGACACCAAAAAATCAATATGGTCTTTCCTTCCAATATCATGAGTAGTTAGAATGAAATAGCCTGGAGTTGCAGTGATCTCTTTTGGTCCCGTTCTAGAGATCCTTCTGAGAATAAAGCAGGAATGCAGAACTGTAACAGAGACAAAGAAAGGGGTCGGATAACCCACTTGACGCTGCTGGATACAGCCATGCCTGAAATCCTTTCCACCTTTTAGAACTCCTATTCTTCAGACACAATCAGTATTCTTTTTTTTTTTTTTGCTTCAGTCCATTTGAGTTTGATCCCTGTCACTTGTAACCAAAAGAGAGCTAAAGAATGAAAATATGGGAGAGAAGAAAGGTCCTAGACTTTAGAGTCTAATGGTCTTAGATTTAGAAAGCACACTAAACTGCCATGTTCTTCAGTGTCCACCCACCTCACAGTCAGTGTGACATTACATGAGGCCATCCAGGGAGGCACTTAGATGACAATTATCCCATGTCTGTCTCTCTCACCGGACCAAGATCCCCTGGAAGCCAAGACCTTGCCTGACTGATCCCAGCCTGACCTAAGCACCTGCTCACTGAAGATGTCGGCATGCTAACAAAGGGTACCATGGCACTGTAGGGTAAGTGCAAAACCTCAAGTTTGGTTTGCACCCAAGGTCGGTGGTTCAAACTCAGCAGCCACTCCTTGGAAACCCTATACTGGGTCACTATGAGTCAGAACCAACTTGATGGCACTTAATAACAACAACAATAATGGCTACTCTAAGGAGACCTAGTGGTACAGTGGGTTAAACATCAAGCTACTAACTGCAAGGTCGGCGGTTCAAACCACCAGCAGCTCTGCATTGAGAGAGGAGAAAGATGAGTCTGTCTGTTCCCATAAAGATTTATAGTCTCGGAAACTCTGAAAAAAAGATTTACTCTTCTCTGTTCTGTAGGGTAACTATGAGTGGAATTGATTGAGTGGTAGTAGGTTTCACTTTGGTGGCTTCTCTAGGGACCTTGGTGGTGTCGTGGTTAAAGCGCCTACCTGCTAAATGTAAGGTTGACAGTCGGACCCATCAGCTGATTAGCTGGAAAAAACATGTGGCAGTCTGCTTCTTCAAAGATGCCTGCCTTGGAAACCACACAGGGCAGTCCTACTCAATCCAATAGAGGGCCAATTTGGGTCCAAATCGATTGGACGGCTTTGGGTTGAGTTTGGTGGCTGCTCTGCCAGAAGTCACAGGGCAACCACAAACTGACGCAACTCCAGCCACATTTTGATATTAAATACATAAAACTCCAGTGAGCTGAATGTGGAAGCAAACCTGAAGCATTGCCGTGTTTACTTAGAAAAGCTTCCCATTGGTTAATGGTGGGGGGAGGGGACCACCAAATGGGAAAGACACTTGACCCCCCCTCTAACCATTAACCAGCAAGGAAGCTGGAAAACAAGATTTATAAGCAGCTACACCTGACAGCTTACTGGACACCTTTGAGAATCAAGGACAGTGGGGTCCAGGACAGTGGGACTGAGCCACAGCCCATAGACGACCGTAAGTAATGACTGAACCCTCGGCCCCCAGACCAAATGAGTCACTGCAGCCTGCCTGCTTCATATCTAGACATGTGTAAGCATATATATACATACACAATAATATGTATGTAGATAGATGACAGATGGGTAGATAGGTGTAGGTAGGTAGATAGATGATGATGATGAAGATAGGTAGGTAGATAGATAGGTAGATAGATAATGTTTTTTGTGTCTGTCTGTCTGTGTGTGTGTGTTAATGGACATGAGTAAGGCAGAAAGCAGTGGCCTCAGAAGCCACACAGAGGATTTTCCAGCCTGTGGCTCATCCACAGAGACTTGAACTCCCCTGTGGCTCCTATCTCTCAGGAGCTGACCCTGAGGTCTGTCATTAAGGACCGTTAGCTGCGGCCGCTGAGGTTCCTAAGCCACCCTGACAGCAGAGTCAGAGTGTGAGCAAAGGGCCCGGCAGCGCCCCTGCTGGAAGACATCAGCCTCAAAGCAGAGCTTGGCGGCCATGGCTCCTCCCTGTGACTCCGCCGGCCGGATGCTACTGATGGAAAAGAATCATCCACGGTATTGCATGATCATGACGACAAATGCGTAGGGCCTAGGATGGGGCCTGATTTACAGGAGAGCCAGTGGGCTTTTACTCAGAAAGGAGGGCATGCTCAAAATAAAACTCGTAAGTAATATTGGTTATGGTTGGTTATGTGCCGTTGAGACAGGTCTGACCCATAGCCACCCTGCATGGGGTTTCCGAGGCTTTAAATCTTTACAGGAACAGAAAGCCTCATATCTCTCCCACAGAACTGCCGGTAGTTTCAAACTGCTGACCTTGAAGTTCGCAGTACTAATCTGCGTGTCAACGAACCTCTTCTTCCACGTGGCACGGCTCTGAAGCCAGCTCTGGATGGGCCTAGCTACCTCAGTGGCCTCCTCTGTAAAATGGGCCCAGGACGACCCATCGAATGAGGTCGTATAAGCAAAGCATTTACTCCTGGTGTAACACTATAGGATAAGCACTGGACTGCTAACCGCAAGGTCAGCAGTTCGACCCACAGTTGGAAACCCTGTACAGGGTTGCTAGGGGTCGGAACGGACTCGGTGGCATTTAACAACAAGGCATTCACAACCATCTTGGAAGCTGGGTAGACTTTTTTAATTCAGACATTGGGAAGTTACTCAACACTGAAAGGAAACAGGTACAGAACCTTTCCAGAGACAGTGGGGAGAGATGGGCAGGGAGGAAAGGGAAAGAGGCAGGGGGGGCGGTTAGGAAGCACACGTGTGGCAAGCCCACGGGGCTCCAAGCTTCACGCTACACAGACGGGCAGATGTGGTGGTAACAGAGAGTCCACTGTGGGGTGGTCAGGGTGGTAACTAAGCAGCAGTCCCTGAACAGACCTGGGGCCTGGGGCCCCAAGGACATGAGGGAGTGATCCAGGCAAAGCGGTCCAGCCCAGGAGGCTCATGGGGTAGTGTGAAGCCAGTTCATCTTTGTTCCCAGCCTGGCCCAGAACCAGCTCTGCAAACATTGGGGAAGTAACCTACTCGGCCATTGGCAGAGGGAGTAGAGACTGGTGTAGGTGGGAGGAACCCCAGATGCCCAGCATGGCTGGGGTTGAAGCTTCGATGGGCCAGATTTGAGACTTGCCCACAGGGACTGGGTCAGCAGGACTCCCTGGACCATGGTATTGGGGCTCCACTTAGTATGGATGGTGAAGAGTTACTGAACGTTTTTCAGCAGAAGAAAGGTGAATTGGCATGAACATTAGAAAGATCTTACAGGGTGTTGCCCGTAAGTTACCACCAGCTACAGAGGAGAGCTGGGCTGAAGGCGCTTAGCAGGACATGGGGTAGGGGGCTCTGCTCAACCTAGGAGCCCTGCCCAGCCCCAAACTTGGGCTGTGCACTGGGACTGGAGTAAGGAAACAGACCCCAGAAGAAAATTAGCTGACAGTGTTTTAATGGGCATGCTGTAGTTTTTACACAATTAACACATGTCTTCTATGTTTGTTTATCAACTGTTCCCTGCCCTAGGAGGTATTTTTGTAAACAGTGCTGTGCTAATTTTTTTAACAGCAACCTGTAGGGACAACAACAAAAAAAAATTGGCATAGCAAAAGGAACGGGGCTCCAGCCAGGTCTCCTTAGGAATACACCTGGAGGGGAGGAAGCCTCTGACAAACAAACGCAGAAAGCTATTTGGGTGAAAAACAGCAATATGCCCAACAGGCAAGATGAGTAATACTAATAGCTCTCTTCCATACCGAGGAAATTGGGATAAAGAGATTAAATCGTCTGTGCCATGTCGCTGCGATCCTAATCCTGTTTAGTTTACCATGAAACCCAAGGAAGTGGAAAACTTGTCTGGTGGACACCAAGAGACGCAGTGGCCCCAGCAAGAGCCCAGGCCTGGACTGCTGCAGTCTGCAGCCTGGAGACCTGTGGTTCCCCCAATGGAGAAATGTGTGACTCAGAACAGGGGGCACCTCGCACTCGTGACTGAAGAGAGGTTGGGAGAGAGCTGAGGGGGTCAGTAGTGGGTTTCGCTTTCTGTCTCCCTTGGGGATTCCAGGGAAGGGGCCTGGGGATGTTCTGAAGCAGTGGTTCCCTCAGTTGGGGGTGTACAACAGTCTCTTTGAAACTTGTTTAAATGTGACTTCTGGTCCCTCCTGGGTTCCACAGGTGGGAGGTGCCAGGAGCCCTGTTTAAGTGGGCACATGATTCACAGAACACAGTGCTGGGGAATACTGGTTAGATATCCTGAGGTCGGGATGTTGTTATGGTTATGTGCCATGGAGTCGGTTCTGACTCATAGTGACCCTGTACAGGGTTTCCGAGGCTGTAAATCTTTACAGGAGCAGAAAGCCTCATCTGTCTCCCGCAGAACAGCTGGTAGTTTCGAACTGCTGACCTTGAGGTTCGCAGACTGATTTATAACCACTACGCTACCAGAGCTCCTTGAGGTGGGGATAATGTCTCCTTTACTGGTGTTTGGTGAGGGCTATAGAGAAGAACATAAGCACAACACTTAGATCAGTGCAGGGCGCCAACATCAAAACCAAACACGTTGTCTGCCAGCAAGTGACTTCAACTCATGGCCAGTAGGTGGTACTGAGGAGAACCACCCCCGAGGGTTTTCGTGACTATAGTCTTTACAGAAACAGATCACAGTGAGGGTGGGTGGACTTGTATCACCAACCTTTACTTTAGTAGTTGAGGACAAACTGCTCTCTCCACCCAGGGACCTGGGTACCTAGATGGAGCTTGGTAAATAGTAGCTGGTTGGAATTCACACCTTTAGATGGAGAAACTGCAGCCCACATCCCTGCCCTGGCTTGCTGCAGGTCACACAGTCACTGCGGGGGAAGGAACGGGGCTCCAGCCAGTTCTCGTATCCCTTGCCCCACTGGCTGGGTAGTCACATCTTCTAACTGGCACTCCTGACTTGGCAGGGCCCAGCCTCCCAGGGCAATGCTGCTCATCCTATGCATCTGCCTTCTCTGGCTGCCCACCAGTGGCCTCTGGGGCATCCAGGCTGAGGACCCCAACCCTGAAGTAGACACAAGACGTCCTCACCGGAGCCTGGCCCCAACCAATGTTGACTTTGCTTTCCGCCTGTTTAAGCACCTGGTAACCTTGACTCCCAACAACAGCATCTTCATCTCCCCTGTGACTGTCTCCATGTCATTGGCCATGCTGTCCCTGGGGGCTGGGAGCTCGATGAGGACCCAGCTTCTCCAGGGTCTGGGCTTTGACCTCACCAAGGTGCCTGAAGCTGAGATCCACCAGGACTTTCAGCACCTCCAGTACCTCCTGGAGAAGCCGAACACCCGCTTGGAGATGGTCCTAGGCAATACCTTGTTCTTGGACCAACGTCTGAAGGCCCTGGAGTCCTTCTCAGCAGGTACCAAGCGCTACTATAAGTCAGAGGTCTTGGCTATAGATTTCCAGGACTGGGTCAAAGCCAGCAGACAGATCAACGAGTGTGTCAAGAACAAGACCCAAGGGAAAATTGTGGACTTGTTCCTGGAGACGGAGAGCCCAGCTACTCTAGTCCTGGTCAACTACATCTTCTTAAAAGGTACCCCATTTAGATCGGGCTCATCTACCAGTTCCAAGAATAGTAATAGCAGGTTAGTCCCCATTGCTTTTAGCCAGAGCTCCTTAGCAGGATGGTTTGGGAGCCATTAAATCATCTCACTTACTATAAGGCAGAGGAACTAAGAGTTTACACTCAATCAATATTCCAAAGTCAGAAAACTCAAAACAATAAACCAGGAACCAGCTCATGGGTGCCCAGTCTCTGCCCATAGCTCTCACCTTCTCAGCCTCCCAACTCTCTGCTATCTCCACTAGGAGCCATTACTGAGGGGCTGAGGGGTTGAAGCTGGTTCAGAACAGTGTGGAGTCCCTGAGGCTCTGGCAGTGGGGTAAAGAAGGGTGTTTGGGGCTATGTATGCTCTGGTCACCTCTAGGCAGCTGAGAAAAGATAATTCAGGGCTTGAGGTCAAGGAAACCAGAACACTTGGGACCTGCTAGACCCAGGGTTCTCCTTCATCTCCAGAACCAGAGAAAAGGGGGCTCTGGCAGGACTCAATCCATGTCTTCAAATTTAAGAGGGCTCAGACACTGGGGTTTAATAATAGAGTTCTCCCCTCTCACCCAAAAGTCCTAGATTCAATTCCCAGCCAATGTTCCTTTGTACATAGCTGCCACCTGTCTGTCACGGGCGCTCATATGTTGCTATGACGCTGAATAGGAAGAAAGGCTTGGTGATCTACTTCTGAAAATCAGTCAATGGGATCCATATGGAATACAACGGTCCTATCCCATTGCACATAGGGTCGCCGTGAGTGGTGGGCCAACTGAACACCTGCTATTTGGAATAACCTTAGATGGGTTCAGCAGGGGAGTGTTACCATCAGGCAGGCTTGGCCTGGTCTAAAAAATAATTTTCTTGCTATCAGAGTTGAATTGGAATAACGGGAGATTCTTTCTGTGAAGGGTGCAAATTCCTCATCATGAAGCAACCCCACTGGGCTGGCTGACAACTTAGTTGAACATGGGAGAGAGAATTTGAAGCCAGTTGGAGAGATGAAGCAGGTGCCCTTGAAGGGATCTTCTCAACCTGACTTGGACACACCTGCCTGAACCCCACTACCATCGAGTCAGTTCTGACTAATAGCAAAGTAAAGGACAGCGTAGAATTGCTCCAAAGAGTTTCTGAGACTAGAAATGTTTATGGGAGCAAAATGCCTCATCTTTCTCCTGAGGAGCAGCTGGTGGATTTGAACTGCAGACCTTGCAGTTATCAGCCCAGAGCTTAACCCACTGAACCAATAGGGCTCCTTCCCAGTGCCCAAAATAAGTGCTTTGGGCCCAGGAAATATGATTAGTACCCAAGAGGGCACACAATGCTATCGGGATCCTCTAGGGGGCAATGGGAACAACTCTCCCTAAAAACAGTCAACGGGGCCAGCGGGGCTTCCTGTCTGAGCCCCTGCAACAAGGACGCCAAGGGGTGGGAACAGAGTGGGTGGGCTGAGCTCTCAGCCCCCATCCCCCCTTTTTTTTTTCATTTTTCTTTTTAATGTGCCATCAAATAAGTTCTAACTCATAGCGACCCTGTGTAGGGTTTCTGAGCCGTGTCTGGTTGAACTGGCAACCTTGTGGTTAGTAGTCCAGTGCTTATCCTACATAAGAACCCTCCTGGAGACCGGAAACTCACAGCTGAGCAGCACGAAAACAACCCAAAACCCTTTGCAGCAGAGTCCACCCCAACTCAGGGAAACGCCCGTGTGGTGGAGACTTGCTCCAGCCATAGGATGTTCGCGACTGTCACCTTTCTAGGAACAGATTAGTAAACCTTCCTTCCTAGGTTCCCCTGGGTGGGTCTGAGGTAAAGTCTGGGCTCCGTGAATCCCTGGCCCCGAATCCAGTTGTAGAAGATAGTCTCAGAAATCCTCCCATCCTTGAAACGCAGGGGAGACTGAACCCCTTTAAGCCTTTGAGAATGTCCTATTTTACCAGGAAAGGTGACTCTGGGGGGGGGAGGGGGGGCATGCAGCCGCCGAGAGGGAGGGCTGCTGCTCGTCCCCGCTCCACAGGCATTCCAAACCCTCCCCCCCAGGCACGTGGGAGCATCCCTTCGATCCGGAAAGTACGTCGGAGGAGGACTTCTACGTGAGCGGGACGAGCACGGTGAAGGTGCCCATGATGTTCCAGTCGAGAGTCATAGCGTACCTTCATGACTCGGAGCTACCCTGCAGGCTGGTCCAGCTGGACTACACAAGCAATAGGACCGTCTTCTTCATCCTCCCAGACGAGGGAGAGATGGACACGGTCATTGCAGGGCTCACCAGGGACACCATTCAGAGGTGGTCCTCAGCTCTGAGCTTGGGGTAAGCCCCGGGCCAGCGGGGCATTGTCTGTAGTAAATGTGCTCCCAGAAAGTGGGCGGGGTATGGAGATGCTTCCGGGTACCGCTCTGCCCACAGGCTCCTCCTCCTGGCTGGGAAGTACCCAGAGGCCATGGGGCTGGCTCCCTAACCCGTCCACAAAGAGTGGTCACTCCCCTCTCCCTGTGAGTTTAACACGCTTTGTGTCAGCACAAGGGGACCCTGGTGGCACAGTGGGTTAAGCTCTGGACGGGTAACAGAAAACTTGGAGGTTTAAACCCAAAGAAAGATGAAGATGCCGGCTTCCGTAAAGGCTGACAGCCTCGGGAACCTTCTGGGGCTGGACCTATGGGGTCACTAGGAGCTGGAGTTGACTCAGTGGTAGTGGGTGGGGCTTGGGTCTGTTACTATCACACGTCTAGCATCATTTCCTTAAACAGAGTTCACCCCCCCCCCAACTTGTCCATTTTATTATCTGACTAAAGATTCGGAAGGCCCCCACCTCATGAAAATACAGTGAAAATGCCTTCCCCACCCACCCGTAGTGGTTACGAATCGGGATATGAACCTTAAGGTCAGCAGTTCGAAACTACCAGCCGCTCCACGGAGAAAGATGAGGTTTTCTACTCCTGTAAAAATTTATAGCCTCGGAAACCCTGTACAGGGTCGCTATGGGTCGGAACCGACTCGACGGCACTTAACAACAACAACAACAACACCCAGCATGGAACCACTGCAAAGCCGGTCACCGGTCCTCAGATCCATCAATGAATGAGGAAGGGAGGACAGAGCAGGTGGCTCCCTCTAGGCGTGTGGTGGGCTGCACCTTTGTTGTTATTGTTGTATGTTACTGAGTCGGTTCCAACTCATAGCCACCCTGTGGCTTCTTAGGGTTTCTTAGAGGGGCAGGAATCCTCATCTTTCTCTCTCAGAGCAGCTGGTGGGCTCGAACAGCCAACCTTATGGTGAGCAGTCCTGTGTTTACCCCACGGAGCCACCAGGACTCCCTAATGCCGAGGGTGAGGTGGGAATTCTTACTCCATCCGAATGATTTCCGCCTCCTCCCATTAAACAGACCCTTGCGGTTGCTTTCCTCCACCTATAGTCATGCGCTTTCTCCACTCTCACGTCACCCAGCATCACCCTCCAAGCCCCACCATTTCATGGGGGCCAGACCCTGGGTTCAGCTGGGACCTGGCAGCAGCTGAGAACACTGACCTCCCATTCCACAGCATCCTCCCGCACCCCGCTGCTCTGACCCAACTTCCACTAGATGGCGCTCTCAGCGGACTGAAACGATTTCTCCAGGGGCCATTTTCTTAAAAGCCCAAAGCTAGAAAATCGGAACACAGATTTGGTCTGAATGTATCATAGGCCAAACCGGTTTACCAGAAGACCTGGGAAGAAACGAATGTGTGCTTCCATTCTGTCTGTTGCTCTGGCCCTTCCCCTGTCCCCCAAAGGAAGGCCAGGCTCCGCAGAGGACTGAATGGACCACATGGGAGGTGGGGGTCTGGTTGAGAAGGGGTGGCCCCTGTCCACATCAGGTCCAGCAGCAGGACCACCTAACCCACTTGCTTGTTCCCGAGCAGCCTGGTGGACCTGCACATCCCCAGGATCTCAATTTCTGCAACGTACGACCTCAAGGACACACTGGTACACATGGGAATAGTGGATCTCTTTACCAGCCAGGCGAATTTCTCAGGCATCTCTCAAGAGTCCCAGCTGAAGGTGCCAAAGGTAAGTGTCTCAGGAGCCCCTCTTTTATTTTCTCAAGGTCCACAGTAAAAATCATAATAATTGGAAGCCACATTGAGCCCAGTCAGTGTTGGAAAGCCCCTGGCTGAAGCCAGCTCCTCATTTTACAATGGGGTTAACCAAGGTTCAGCAAGAAAGCGTGACCTCCCCAAAATACAGGAAGCGAGTGTCAGGGGCGGGTCATGTCTCACATCAACCATCCTGACAGACCACACAGAGGGGGCTCTGTGGAATGTGAAGTTGTCATGGTAATGAGAAGAAGCAGGTAAACTCAGAGGCAGTCAACTTGAAGCCACATTGAATCTTCTCCCCCGTGATGTCCACATTATTAGCCATTGATCCATTCAGACAATGAAGGATGATCACCACAGTGTACTCCTTGGTGCTGGGCACTTGCGTGCCTCCACCACCCAGACACAGCCCCTCACTCACCCCTCTTCAGTCCTGTGGAGAGACAAAGCAAGAAAGGGGGCAGGAGACAGAGGAGGCACATCAGCTACCTGCCCCCAGCACAAGGATTTTGTGACGATTGCAGAACCTGCCACCCCAGTATGTATGCACTCAATGAATGGCGCCCTATGGGGATGAACTGAGTCCGTACCGGTACCTCCTTAGGTGGCTGGGCACTGTTGAGTCAATTCCAACTGAGAGCAACTCCTTGTAACAGAGTAGAACTGCCCCATCGGGTTTCCTAGGCTGACCGCCAAGTCTGTTACCTGCTGAACACTTAACCTTTGCAGCATCAGTGCTCCTTATCTCCCTGTGGGGTGGCATTTTTCCACTTTCTCAGAAGAGAAGTCTATTTGGGGCCCAGGAAAGATGAAGAGCTTGCCCACGGTCACATGGTAAGAAGGCACAGTTGGCCATTTGACCTCAAGCTGATTTGACTCAAAGCTTTATATTTTAAGACATATGAGGAGCTTCAAAAAGTGCATGGACAAAAGGAATGAAAAGATGATGGATCTTCTCCATGAGCTTTTTGAAGCTGCCCTCTTGTACATAGAGGTTCCAACCCCAGACAGTCTTCCCAGCCACGCGTGCCTGCTTCCCGGAGCCCAAGAGCCTCCAACTCCTTGTTGGAGTCTCAGTGAGCACACTCACTTACTGTCTGCTGTTGGTTTCCATCAAAGCCTTTGAGTGAAGCTAGTCAAGCATGTGGCAGGCACCAGATTGTTAGGTTGTTAGGTGCCATCAAAGTCAGTACCAACTCATAGCGACCCTATGCACAACAGAATGAAACATTGCCCAGTCCTGGGCCAACTTCACAATCGATACTACATTTGTGCCCATCGCTTATGCCACTGTGCCAGTCCATCTCATTAGGGGTCTTCCTCTTTTCCTCTGACCCACCACTTTACCAAACATGATGTCCTTCTTCAGGGACTGGTCCCTCCTGATAATTTGTCCAAAGTATGAGAGACGAAGTCGGGCCATCCTGACCTCCAGGGAGCATTCTGACTGTACTTCTTGCAACACAGATTTGTTTGTTCCTTTGGCAGTCCATGGTACTTTCAAAATTCTCCTCCAACAGCATAACTCAAATGCATCCATTCTTCTATGGTCTTCCTTATTCACTGTCCAACTTTTGCATGAATATGAGGTTACTGAAAATACCATGGCTCACACATTAGTCCTCAAACTGACATCTTTGTTCTTGAATACGTTACAGAGGTCTTGTGCAGCAAATGTGCCTAATGTAATATGTCATTTGATTTTTTGATTGCTGCTTCCATGCCTTCTAATTCTGATCACAAAGAGAGATGTTCCAACACTCAGAGATGACACCATGGGGTCTGTTTGGGCATCACCTGAGTGGGAGGTTGGGAAAGACAGACCCTTGTTTCTCTGTAGTCCAAGACTCAGTAAGGCGTACCCAGTGTGGACTTTGGAAGTCTTTGATCTGTATGGACTCATTCTGACCTTTTCATAGGGAGGAAGGGAAAAGATAGGGCTGGTGTGTCCCTAAGTGATGTCTTCCTGCGTCAGGGGGGTGGGGCGACTCTGGATCAGACACCTCAAAAGGGGGCAGTGTCTTAGGGTCCTTATGTTGTTGTTACGAGTCCATTCATTTCTGGACTCATAGCGACCCTCTACAAGGTTTCCGAGAAGCGGCTGGTGAGTTTGAACCGCCGACCTTGCAGTTCAAGCCAATCTTGTGGTCCAGTGCATTGCCCTGCAGCACCACACCAAAACTCCAGGGTCCTACTCTATCCTTTAGGGTCATTGTCAGAATTGGCTCGATGATAGCAAGGTCTTGTTTTTCATTAAATTGGGTCCTGTTGTAGGACCCTTATTATAAGACCCTATTTAATAAAAAGGAGTCCTGGTGTGGTGCTGTGGGTTAATGCACTGGACTGCAAGGTTGCTTTGAACCACAAGGTGGGCAGTTCAAGCTCACCAGTTGCTCCTTGGAAACCCTATACAGAGTTGCTATGAGTTGGTACCAGTTCATTCAACGGTACTTAACAACAACAACAATTTAATTAAAAATTTTTAATGAAATTAGATGGCCATATCTTTCTTCTGCAGAATGGCTGTTGGGTTCAAACCACTGTCCTTTGGGTTAGCACTTTGCAATCCATCTCCTGGGGGCCTTCCTCTTTTTCTCTGACCCTCCACCTTACCAAACATGAGATCCTTCTCCAGCGACTGGTCCTTCCTGACAATATGTCCGAAATATGATAGACAAGTTTGGCCATCTTAGCCTCCAAGGAGCACTCTGGCTGCACTTCTTCCAACACAGATCTATTGGTTCTTTTGTAGCCCATGGTACTTTCAATATGCTCCTCCAACACCATAACTCAAAAGCATCAATTCTTTTATGGTCTTCCTTATTCACTGCCCAGCTTTCGCATGCATATGAGGTTATTGAAAATCCCATGGCTTGGGTCAGGTGCACCTTAGTCCTCCAGCTGACGTCTTTGCTGCCAAGGCCCCTACTTAATCTTTGTGGGTACTATCAAGTCATCATGGCGGGTCCTGCCTCATTCTCACAATTCTCCCTGTGCTTGGACCCAATGTGTCAATCCTTCTCCTTGAGTGAGGGTCTTTCTCTTATCTACTTTACCAAGGATGAAATCATTCTCCAGGTACTAGTCCCTCCTGGTAACAAGGTACATGAGACTACATCTCATGGTCTTCACTTCTAAAGGGCATTCTGACTGTACCTCTTCTAAGACAGATTTGCTCCTTCTGGTAACCCACGTTGCATTCAGTATTCTTCACCAACACCGTCATTCAAATGCATCTACTGTCTCCATATAGGACCCTGAAGCAGTGTTATTTCTTGTAGAACTAACAGATGTTGGTACTCCTGGTGTGGCACAGTAGGAGCAACACTGGACTGTGAACCACAGGGTTGGCAGTTCAAACCTACCAGTGGCAACTCATAAGCCCTATACAGGGTCGCTATGAGTCAGAACCGACTTGACGGCACTTAACAACAACAGATGTTGGGTGCAGTTTCCTGGGATATCACAAAGCAGGCAGGCACTAAGTGTCTACACATCTGCATCTTTGGATGGGATCTTTAAAACAATTAATTGGATGTGCGAAAATTTGAGTGTGGTGCCAGCAGCTCTTTTTGAGCCTCAGCTTGCTTTGAGTGGGTGAAGAATTTGGGGTCGAGGCACAGCTATCATTTCTGGGTCATTACAGAGCCTCAGGTCTGAGCACGTGTCCCGGGGTTGTCCCTTCTGTAAGAAGCCAACACCACCTTCCATAGAACTAAGTGTGTGAGGCAGGCAGGCAGTTCCTAATGTCTTGTACGGGCCAACCACTTGCCTCTGGTCCCCATATTCAACAGGTGGTCCACAAGGCTGTGCTGCACCTGGACGAGACTGGCACAAAGCCTGCCACCACCCCTGGGGGTGCTCCAAACCTGAGGGCCTTGTTGGCCAAACCTCCCATCATCAAATTCAACCGGCCCTTTGTCATCGCCATCTTCGATGACATGACGTGGAGCAGCGTTTTCCTGGGCAAAGTTGTGAACCCCACCTGAAGGCACGCCCCCCCGGAGCACTGGCACCATCTGACTTGGGGCTCCAGGGACCCCACAGGAACATTCTGGGGAGTGGGAGCTGTTCCCACCTTCTCCAGGTTCTCTGCCATCCAACCAGGGTCCTCTCTCCCTTTTCAACATCTTGTAATAAACAGTTGTTCTTGCAGCTCCGATGGTGTGTGTGCTGGGTGGGAACAGAATGAACATTCATTCCCAGAGGCATCTGAGGAACAGGATGACTAGTAGTATGGTAGTTAAGCCTTCAGCTGCTAACTGTAAGTCAGGGAGTTCGAACCCATCAGCTTCTCCTCAGGAGAAAGAAGTGACTGTGTGCTTTGTAAAGGTGACAGCTGGGAGACCCTCTAGATCAGTTCTGCTCTGTGATACAAGGTCACTAAAAGTTGTGTAGTTTGTTTGGAAAGCATAGACTTGGTACCCTGAGAGCAGCCGCTCCTACTGCCAACAAGGCTGCCCCTCCTGCCTGGCAGGTGTAGGTGTAGGTGGATGCATCTCCCTAGAACACAAGTCCATGTGGAGGAGCGGAGTGTGGGGAAGAACCAGGCATCAGAGTAAGAAACGAGATACTGAAACCCCATGACTTTCCTTTTAAGGACCCTTGGGGACCCCTGAATGGTGCTCAGCCACAAACCAAAAGGTTAGTGGTTTGAATCCACTTCAGATTTCTTCTGGTGGTTACCCAATTCGTCACTGAAAACCCTGTGGGGCACAGTTCTCCTCTGACACACTCGGGGGCGCCATGAGTGGAATCTACTCATAAAACTCATCCACTGAAAACCCTGTGGAGCTCTGTTCTCCTCTGACACACACAGGGGTGCCATGAGAGGGAGTCACCTCAACAGTAAGTGGTTTGTTTTGTTTGTTTGTTTGTTTGCAGGTGGGGTGGGGTAGGGGGTAGGGGGCATTGGGAGAGATTGGACTGTTCCTGGAATCACACCTGTGGGGCTGAGAGTTAAAGCCCTGTGTTGGATAAGCAGTAAGTGCCACAGAGAAGGATGGGTAAAGATTTGCCAGACACGTGAGATGGTGCTAGCATCCATTGGTTTCTCATTACACAAGCCGTACTGAAGCCAAAGCGCTGGGGGTGAGCCCGGCATGGGGCTCTGCCCTAAACCAATCAACCAGGGCCCTCACAGTAACCGGAACACTATTTCCACTTACTGCATGACATGTCCTTGACTTCACTGGTTTAGTATGATTTTTTACAGGAGCTCTGGTAGCGTAGTGGTTACGAATGGGGCTGCGAACCTTAAGGTCAGCGGTTCGAAACTACTAACTGCTCCGTGGGAGAAAGATGAGGCTTTCTACTCCCGTAAAGATTTACACCCTCGGAAACCCTGTACAGGGTCGCTATGGGTCGGAACCGACTCGACGGCACTTAACAACAACAACAACATCTTTATAAGTCCAACAGAGAGTTTATAATTTCCCTCTTCTCTAATTCCACCCATTGGCTATACCTTTCTCGTGTGTGTGTGTGTGTGTGTGTGTGTGTGTGTGTGTGTGTGTAATTCCGGTGCCTTTTTAGTTATGAATGGGAATCTAGAATACATTAAAAGTGACATTTCAAATCAATGAGGGGCATGTTTGGGAACAACCAGGTAGTCAGCTGGAAAATGAGAATTGGAGCTATTTCCACCGTACATGTGAGGCTCCATCCCAGATGGGCAAAAGTAGAAATACCTAGCATTGAAACCATAAAATAAAAAGAAGCATGTGTAAAGTGTGAACTATTTTTTTTTTTTAGGGTTTATTTTTATTTATTTATTTTTTAATGTTTTATTGTGAATTGTGTGATAGTTTACATGGGAGAACATTAGCTCATCCTATCATATAATCATGTCATTGCCATGGTTACAATTCCCTCCATGCATCAACCAACCAAAGGCCTGCCCCCAAGTCATCAGCACACAGCCCCTCTCCCTCTCTGGGTCTAAAGTCCCCAGCGGCTCCGTCTCTCCACATCATCGTCTCTGCCTCCATCTCTGGCGTCACTGTTTCTCTGGGTAGGGTCCCACTCTCCGCTCTTCTCCCTTGATGGTCCCACGGACCTCCGCTCTTAGACTGCAAAGTCAATCACTCGCCTCCTTTTGCTACAAAACATCTACCTTTACATTTCCTACCCTCACAAGCAGTCCTGATAACAATTATTCACTATTGTATCACAAGAGACCGATCCACATTTCCTTTCATCAGCCCCGCCTAGACAGATTGGATACTACTCAGTGGAGATTCTACCTTCCTCCATGCCCTCTGGATCTAGGCTCCCTCTTGAAAGCTTGTAAGCCAGTCACTTCTTGCCTTTGTAGCCCCCCCACCCCCGCCATAAAGTGTGAGTTATTTTATAAGCTTATCTCAGTAGGAAAGACTTGTCTAGGAATGCTAAAATATCCACATGCCATTAAAGAATGAAAAATGGATAGATTCATCACATAAAGATATTTTAGAATGTGGCATCAGACTTAGAGGGAGACTCAGTAACAATCTATGATAAGTAGATGATGCCGCCTTACTCAGACTCTTGGTGTAGCACTGTAGGATCAGCACTGGACTGCAAACCACAAAGTCGGCTGTTCAAACCCACTACTCCTTGGAAACCCCATACAGGGTCGCTATGAGTCAGGACCGACTCGAGTACTTGGAACATGAAACATGGAAAACCTGTCCTTTCTCGCCCATACAAATCCTTTTAGGGACCCTAGTGGGTGCCTTGAACCCACCATCTGGCACTCTGTCCCTATAAAGATGACTGGCTAAGAAACCCTAAGGGGTAGTTCTACTCTGTGAAGTGGGGTCAAAGTCAATGGCAAGCCCCCACCCCCACCCACTCCTTTTGACTGCCCCACAGGAAACACTTATCCCAACACAGCTTTGCCCCTGAGCCCCTCAGGTGAGGTGGACTGCTGGTACTCACCAGACGTCTCCCCCATATGACTGCCCACCGAAAGGACTGGCCTGTGTTGCCCTGTGCTGGTGGCAGAATGGGTCAATCTGCCCCTGATCAGGTGCCCCTGGAGCCAGGACAAGGCAGGCAGGGCACAGCCTAGAATCCACGCAGGGACTCAAAACACCAACGGGGGAGGGGCGAGAGGCACAATGTGTCCAACACTGGGATGTTGCAAGGTGTGAGGAAGCTTTCTTCTCTGAAACCCGGTTATACCAGTAACTGATCCCAGGACACATTTGAGAAGTCTGTGGACCTCACCCTGATAGGTGGCTCTCAGAACTACCGCCTCCTGCCTGAAAGGATTCCAGGTACTGGACTCTTCTATCAGATCAGCCCCGGTCTTTGTCTACAGAGGTGTGTGGTCAGCTGAGACAGAGTGGAGACTGGAAGTCAGCTGAACCAGCTTTCTTCAGGTTCCTGTCCTTAATACAGGGATGGGGAACCTTGTATCTGCCAAAATTTATAACATCATCACAGACTATACAAAATTAACAACTTCAAAATTAGCCTGCTATATTTGGTCAAACATCTAATTAACTCACCCTTAATATGCGCTGGACTGCAAAGTTGGTTTGAACTGCAAGGTCAGTGATTCAAGCTCACCAGCCGCTCCTTGGAAACCCTATACATGGCTGCTATGGGTTGGAACTGACTCGAAGGCACTTCACAACAACAATGTGATGGCTAGAGTACTAGTGTGGAGCTGTGGGTTCATCCACTGGACTGCAAGGTCAGTTTGAACTGCAAGGTCAGCGGTTCAAGCTCATCAGTCGATTCTAGGAAACCCTATTATACAGGGTAACTATGAGTCAGCACTGACTGGATGGCACTTAACAACAACAATGTAATGGCTGGAACTGCGATTGCCTTGGCAGGGCCAGACCAAATGATTTCATGGGTCATACCTTCGAATCACCCATGGGTCTGAGCCTGAACTTCCTCAGCTGTGAAGTCAGGGATCTGGGCTTACCCCAGAGGTTCATTGTGTCTCTAAACCCACAACAAATACCACTCATTTCATATGGCTCAGTAGGATACGCACCGGACTGCAAGGTCGGTTTGAACCACAAGATCACTGTTCAAACTCACCAATCGCTCCTCGGAAACACTGTACAGGATCTTTATGGGTTGGAACCAACTTGACGGTACTTAACAACAACACATTTATGGAGTTCTGCTGTGGCGCTATAGGATAAGTTCTGTAGGGTCATCGTAACAAACTAGCAAACCCAGCAGAGAGACAACTGGAGTGTGTGGTGGGAGATGGGTTTGAACCACAAGGTCCACACTCACCAGCGGCTCCTAGGAAACCCTGTACAGTGTTGCTGAGTTGTAACCGACTTGACAGCACTTAACAACAGCCCACCAGGAAGAAAGTAGTGGGTGTGCAGTGAGAAAACCCGGCAGTGGCAACATTGTCTAACTTCACAAAGGAGGGAGGAGACCCTCGCAAGTATCCACAGCCCCAGGCTGAGAGCTGTGAGACAGAGGTCAGACACACCTCCTTCTACCAACATTTCCACCAATTGTGACACCAGCCGCCTCTCCCACCACACACCCTCTGTCTGTCTGTCTGTCTCTCTGTCAGCTGGGTTCTCTTAATTTGCTGCAATGGCTGGCCCTACAAAACTCACAGAACGTACCAGAGACTATGGGGTTTACAGGGAAGTCACTGATGACAATCAATTCTGGGGTTTATCAGGGAAGTCACTGGTGACAATTCAGAGTCAGGGACAACTCAAGATACAGTTCCCCAGCCAGCAGAGTGTATCCCTCAGTCCCTGGGCCCCTAGGGTTGGTCTCTGTCCTGCTCAGACAAGCAGGACAAAGCTTTCTAGCTGGCCAGTGAGCACCCACTCTGCCAGAAAGCCTTGGTTTGAAGGCTCTCGGCTCTCTCCGTGGGTTGGTGCACCATGGTCATTACTTTGCTCTGTGGTCTGCGGAGCCCACTGCCGCCACTTGTCTGTCACTGTTGCTCGCTGTCTTGTGCCATCTCTCGGGTGACAACTCTGTCTTCTGGGTCTCAGAGGCTCTC